TCCGGATGTGCGGTTGGGTGGCGCTCCATGCCGTGTAATCCCTCAGGCTACTCAGGAGGGACTGAGGCAGAGGCGAGGAAAGGGGGAGGATATCGCCGTTGAACGCCAGGATCCAGGAGGGGTTTTGCAGTGAGCAGATTGCGACTATTTGTACTCGTCCCAGCTACTCAGGAGGTTGAGGCAGGAGAATCGCTTGAACATGGGAGGCAGAGGGTGCAGTGAGCCAAGATCGCGCCACTGCACTCACTAGGCCCATACAATAAAACGAGGTAAATTTGGACAGTCCAGTGGCTCATTTATATAAACTGTCGTAAGTATAGTTTTCTGTATCTATGAATTAGCCCCATTTTAAAGTACAAGCATATATAGTCTCATTAAAACTTTGTTGTTTTCTATCCATGGGTCACATCAGAGGTGGGTTTTTTTGTGTGTGTTTTTTTGTTTGCTTTGTTTGTTTCTTTGTTTGTTTGTTTTGAGGCAGGGTCTCACTCTGTCACCCAGGCTGGAGTGCAATGGCGCAATCTCGGCTCAGTGTAACCTCTGCCTCCTGGGCTCAAGTGATTCTCATGCCTCAGCCTCCTGAGTAGCTGAGATTACAGGTGTGTGCCACCAGGCCTGGCTAAGTTTTGTATTTTTAGTAGAGATGAGGTTTTACCAGGTTAGCCAGGCTGGTCTTGAATTCTTGGCCTCAAGTGATCCATCTGCCTCGACCACGGTGCTGGGATTACAGGCATGAGCAATGGTACCCGGCCACATTATTTTGCAAAATGCTGTCGTAGAAGCAAACCCATCTCTATTTTAATCCTATGATTCCTCAATATATAGCTCAGATCTTTCACCTGGAAAATCCTTGCAAAAACAAACCACTTAATCACATTATTCTTTGGAGTTCCATGAAACTGAATGATAAAACTGAAACTCAGATGGGTGTCACTCATTTTATCTTCTGTTCATTGATACTGTTTATTTGCCACCTTTGAAGGACTATTTAAACTATCTAAAGCCATAGTCACACTTCCCCTGCTCTGAAGAAGAGCTAAAGAAAGGCAGTGGGAATAAAGAATTCTTTTTCTACTGCATTGTATGAGTTGTCTAGAAAAGTTGAGTAAGAACCTAGGACAAGGAAATCAGACAGCTCCCTGCATACCTATTGTCCGAGTTCCCTCGCACAACTTCAGAATTGTATTCAAAAGTATTTTCACAACAGTAGGCACCCACTTAATTAAATACAAGCACATAATCAAATATATATATATACGCACACACATATATATGTAGTTATCACCAAAATATATATGTAGTTATCACCAATATCTTAGCTTCATTTCTCTAAATGCAAACCAGGGCCATCTGAGCATACATTAAGAAATACACAAGAGTTATTGGAATGGCCTTTTGATCCCAAGAGATATGGCACAGAGGCATTTAGAGAAGTGTGCCACATGATCTTCTCAGGAACATGGGAAAGGCACCAGGACCGGAGGGAGGCAGAGGTTTGGGCACCTTTGAGTAACTGTATCTCAAAGAGAAATGTAGTAGAAAAAACCAAGGACCTTGAAATTAGACAGATCTGGGCTGAAGTCTTTGTTTCAATTTTAATAGCTATGTATTTGGGGGCAAGTTATTTAATGCTTTTATTTCTTCAGTAGGAAAGTGTGCCTCACAAGAAAACTTTACAGTGTTCTTTCCAATTCAACAAAATAACATCCAAAGAGCTGAGCACAGTATTTAGCACAGAGTCAATGCTGCTGGTCAAAACTGTTCACACACTTTTTTTGCTTTCTCATCTTCACTCTGCCCTCCCTGGCCCAAGCTATCTCCATCAAGTTAACAAAGACCTGAGCTGGAAAGGAGTGGAAGAGACGTTAAAGCCACGCTGTCACTGATTATTGAACAAACAGGATGGTTCATCTCCCTCCTATGGAAGAGAAATGGCTATTGATATTAAACTCTAGAAATCAGTTGAAAACCATTGAAATGAACTCTGGAAATGCAGCCCCTCTGATTAATACTTATCTGAGTGAGATTACCTGTTTTGCAATAACACATCATTGGTTGCAACCCAAGATGGTGGAGTTAGGGGATCTAGGGGAGCTGCAAAGTTAGGTCAGTAATAAACACTTAGAAAGCCATGCATTACACAGTCATGGAGTCAGGACCCCATTATAATATCATAGTGGTTCTTCTGCAATCAGCTGACAATGATCTAGTCTCACGTTCAGCAGATGCCACAAAAAGGGACAATTCCAAAAGCAGTCAGGTAATTATCAGCATTATTTGTTTGTTTCCCAGCATTTACACAGAGGTTTCCTGACAGTTTCAGTTCCTCATGAATGATTTCTAATAAGGGGTTGCTATCATCTCAATGCTGGTGACTCCCACAAATTCACATGTTGAAATCTGACTGTCAAAGTGATGGTGTTAGGAGATAGAGAATTTCGGAGGTGATGAGGTCATAAGGGCTGAGTCCTCATGAACTGGATTAGTGCCCTTATAAAAGAGGTTCCAGAGAGCTGCCTTACCTCTTCCACCATGTAAGGCTACAGTGAGAAGATGGCCCTCACCAAACCCCAAATCTTCTGAGGCCTGGATCTTGAACTTCCCAGCCTCTAGAACAGTGAGAAATAAATTTTTGTTGTGAATGAGCAACCCAGCTTATGGTGTTTTGTTAAGACAGCCTGAACAGACTAAGACACAGGTATTCTAAGTTGGACATCCCATCTCAAACACAAAACAACTGTTTTGTTTGGCCTCAAAAACCAACCTGCATCATGAATAATTGGTTTTTATTTGCCCTTGTTTTCCTGATATGAATTGATTTCCAAAAATTATCAACTGTTACATACTTCTTAGCTTGTAGCAACATTCTAAATCATAAAAGTGTTAATAAACACATCAATAATTTTCCCTTAATACTGAGGATAAACAAATAGGATGTTTCCTGTATCATAGTTTGTATGATATCAGTAATATACTTAATGTCTCAAAAGATTATAGTTAGGCAATAGACAATTATTGAATTGAAGTGGATTATTTGACTATTAGAGGAAGAATAAGAAGTAGTAATGCATAACACAATCTTTTATATTCTTTTTTGGGGTTGGGGATTCTAAAAGACAAAAATGCTTTTTCCACAGTTGAATTCAAATATATGTAATTACATATCTTTCACTTTCAGTAATTTATAAGCTCCTTGCACCTTCTTTGAATCACCAATGTCTAACAGTGCCTTGCACAAAGTAAGACCCTAAATACGACATCTCTCTCACTTAAAGACCAGATTCTTTGTAAGTGGAGCACAAATTTCCTAGGACTACTGTAACAAATTGCCACAGGATGGGTTCCTTAAAACAACTGAAATTTATCATCTCACAGTTCTGGAGGCTAGAAGTTTGAAATCAAGATGTTGGCCAGGCGTGGTGGCTCACACCTGTAATCCCAGCACTTTGAAAGAGAGAAGTGGGAGAATCACTTGAGCCCAGGAGTTTGAGACCAGCCTGGGCAAAATAGCAAGACCCCCCCCTCTATAAAAGAAAAGAAAAGAAAAGAAAAAGAAAATCAAGGTGTCAGCAGTGTAGGTTCCTTCTGAAGGCTCTAAGAAAAAATTCATTTCGTGCCTCTCTCCTAATTTCTTATGGTTGTCAGCAAACCTTAAAGTTCTTTGGTTTGCAGCTACATATCTTCGGTCTCTGCCACTGTCTTCATGGCCTTCTTTCTGTGAGTCTGTGTGTCTCCATATCCAAATCTCCATCTTCTTTCTCTCAGTAAGAAAGTAGTCATTAGATTTAGAGCACATCTTGTTCTAGTGTAACCTCACCTTAATTTGATTATCTCTGCGATCCTATTTCCAAATAAAGTCACATTCACAGGTACTGGCGATTAGGACTCCAGCATATCTTTTTGGGAGACTTGATTTAACCAACTACATTAAGGACACAACAAGAACTAGAAAGTGTGGCCAAAGAATCTTGCTTTAACTATTAAAATACCATGCAGAAAGAACAATTTTGTTAACTATAATTCAGGTATGCTTTTACATGAATATTAGTTGCAAAGATTTTAGCCACAGATAAAAACTTTATCAATGTGCACCATTTCTTTGATATGACAGATTCAATAAAGGAATAAATAGCTCTCTTTGAGAAGTACCATTATGATCACAAAAACATTAATTTACCATGGTTGTGGGAAATATTGACATTGATTTTACATGTGGATACATTCTATGAAACATTCAGAGGAAAAGATCTCCGGTTATGCAAAAGAAACAATGCTAAGTGCTTGCTACTCACAAAGATTCTCTTCTTGACAAAACTCTAGCCAGCCCCTTTGAACTCTTTTTCAACAGGGCCTACCCTTGGGCCTGTCCTCAAGAGCCTGACTTTAGCAAGAATCCTGCTAAGCTAGTTTAGCCATGATCCCTCATCCTCGGTATCTGATCACTCTTAATTTCTGACCACATTCATCTCTCACCATCCCCCAGGTGATTTCTGATCACCCTAGCAAGAACCCTTCTTCCTGGTTAGCTAGAATCCCCTCTTACCTCTGATGTTTCCTCTTAGTAACCATTCCTTTTATTTCTTTTTCCATCCAACGACTCCTCCACTGTGCTTCTTGGCTATACATTCCCACTTTTCCTTGTTGTACACAGAGTTGAGTCCAATCCCCTTCCACTGCTCTGAAACTCTATTTCGGTAGTTGCTATACCTATCACCACAGTCCTGAATAAAGTCCACCTTACCATTTTCACATGTGTCGCAAATCACTTTTTCTTTAGTATCACGCCAGTTCCTCTTTTTCCGCACATAGTAAGATAACAATCCTCAGGTTTCCTTGCGGTTAGCTGTGTGTCAGAGTCTGAGCCAGGAATGGTGGGTAGAATGAACGTAAGTCACTTCTAAGTTTGACCCTTGAAAACGTTCCACTTGAACCTCCTTTCTCTCATTTCTCTGCTAGAATGACTCTGGGACCACATTTTCCAGTGGCATAGTCATCAGAGGAAGGAGAGCCTACCCAGTGTGATGTGAATAAATGGATGAGGTTCTACTTTGTTACTGCTTCATGGCCCAGTTTCCTAATGCACGTTACGGATTGTGCAAGTTTACAACATCATCTAACTGTAAGAAAACTAAATGTGTATTTAAAGCCCTTAGAATCAAAGACTGATAGTGATGTGCTCATCTTTGTATTCCCTGGCACATTTCACAGTACCTGACTCATCACCATGCTTGTTTCTCTTTTTTCTTTTCTTTTTTTTTTTTTTGAGACAGAGTCTTGTTTTGTTGCCCAGGCTGGAGTGCAGTAGCACAATCACAGTCGCTATAACCTTCAACTCCTGGGCTCAAGCAATCTCCCACCTGAGCCTCCTGAGTAGCTGGGACTACAAGAGCACACTATCACGCCCAGTTAAATTTTAATTTTTTGTGTGTGAAGATGGGAGTCTTGCTATGTGGCCCAGGCTGGTCTCCAACTGCTGGCCTCAAGTGATACTCCCACCTCAGCCTGCCAAAGTGCTGGGATTATAGACGTTAGCCACTGCACCCAGCCCTGTTTGTTTTTCTTTACATCGGAAAGTGATCTTCAAAAATCAGTAATTTTTTTTTTTTTGGTCCGTTATACTATTTGTAATGAAAACTCATTATTTGATATCTTATTTTCTTCTTTTTTTTTTTGTTTTGAGACGGAGTCTCACTCTGTCTTCCAGGCTGGAGTGCCGTGAGGCGATCTCGGCTCACTGCAACCTCTGCCTCACGGGTTCCAGCAATTCTCCTGCCTCAGCCACCTGAGTAGCTGGGACTACAGGTGCACGCACCACGCCTGGCTAATTTTTTGTATTTTTAGTAGAGATGGGGTTTCACCATGTTGGCCAGGCTGGTCTCGAATTCCTGACCTCAAGCAATCCACCCGCCTCAGCCTCCCAGAGTGCTGGGATTACAGGTGTGAGCCACCACGCCTGGCCCAGCATCTTATTTTCTTAAATACTTAAAAGAAAGAGAAAAATCAGTGACAACAACAAAAAAAGCAGTGAGTGGCTCCCATGTGCCAAACCTTCTGGTGTTAAACAGGCAGAACACATTTACTTTATTTATTTATTTATTTATTTTTGAGACAGAGTTTCGCTCTTGTTGCCCAGGCTGGAGTGCAATGGCATGATCTTGGCTCACTGCAACCTCCACCTCCTGGGTTCAAGTGATTCTCCTGCTTCACCCTCCCGACTAGCTGGGATTACAGGCGCCCGCCACCACACCCAGCTAATTTTTGCATTTTTAGTAGAGACAGGTTTTCCCCATGTTGGCCAAGCTAGTCTCAAACTCCTGACCTCAGGTGATCTGCCTACCTCGGCCTCCCAAAGTGCTGGGATTACAGGCGTGAGCCGCCGTGCCCAGTCTACTTTAGAGGAAAAAATAGTAACTGTGTACTCCAAATTTGGGAAACTAGCTAATAAAGTTAGCAAAACATCCTGCATTGTCCATCAGGAATTATTGGTTATTTTATTCACACAAAATGTAACAATATATGGGGGAAATCATCTAGAAGAAACCTCATCAGTTCATATGACATTCTTAAAAAAGGAAAACGGTGTCAGTGGCACCAATGTGGGCGAATCTAGAGCAGTGGCCAGTTTGTGATGAGCCACATCCAGAATGAAGTGGGGAGCTCACAACTGGACATCTTAGCAAATACCAAATCCAGGTATGTCAGTTGGGACAACTGGGGGAGGAGGTGTGGTGGGCTGTGCAGCCGGGGGAACCTTCACCAAAATGACTAGAGAAATGAGAAGAACAATTATAACTGACAGATAGGAACAGCCTGCTCAGATACGCTAAAAATGAGTCAGGCCTTCAGGATGATGACAACTTTGACAAGGATTTTGGAGATGATAACAAATGGAAAGCTTTATGTATCCAGTTCAACACAACTGTTCATTAGAGTCCCCGAGGGTCTGATGCATTTAGCAAATGACTATTTTATATGCTTTTTAAATTTTCAGATGCTTCCATAAATTCATAGTCTTGAAAGGAAGACATTTCTTCAGAACTCTGTAAATCTTACAGAGTCTGAGTCCTAAGGGAGTTGGTGGAGGTGGGAATAGTTTGTATTTGCTAAGCATGACAATAATGTGGCAAAGATTTTAAGACTGTGCTCCAGCTGCAAACAAACTTTGCCAATTTCTTCCTTCAGAATAATGAAAATAATTTTTTTTTTTGAGATGGGCTCTTGTTCTGTCATCCAAACTAGAATACAGTGGCACCATCTGGCTCACTGCAACCTCTGCCTCCCAGGTTCAAGCGATTCTCCTGCCTCAGCCTCCCGAGTAGCTGGGACTACAGGCACACGCCATCACACGTGGCTAATTTTTGCGTTTTTAGTAGAGATGAGGTTTCACCATGTTGCCCAGGCTGCTCTTGAACTCCTGACCCCAAGTGATCTGCCCACCTTGGCCTCCCAAAATGCTGGAATTACAGACATGAGGCAAAGTGCCAGCCTGGAAAAATGAAAATAATTCTTATGGTGATTACAGCTCATTCTTATCCAGCCACCCACTCCCAACGTCTTTTTTTAAATCTTGTAAACTCATTTGTTGCAATTGTCAATTAAATTTCTTTCAAAAAGTTCTATAATTCAGACTTGCCTGTACTTACCTGTTTTCTATTTAGAAATAAGATTGATGAAGTATTTAAATTTTAGTGTTAGCTATAATTTGCTAAGTGGATACAGGAATTTTAAAAATGAATGTGCATTCTCCTAACATTTAAAGGGAATATTACAGAATTGGGAAATTTCAGAAGGTAACTGGAAGTGGAGAGGAGAATAATGTGATTTATTGGGTAGGAGAAGAGATGGACGTGCCAGTACACTTTTGAAGGTCCTGGCACGTCCATCTCTTCTCCTAGCCAATAAATTTTTTGATAAAATAGAGAATTTTATTAAAAAGAAAATAACAGGCCGGGTGCAGTGGCTCATGCCTATAATCCCAGCATTTTGGGAGGCCAAGGTGGGCAGATCGCTCAGTCAAGAGATCAAGCCCATCCTGGCTAACACGGTGAAAACTCATCTCTACTAAAAGAAATACAAAAAATTAGCCGGGCATGGTGGTGAGTGCCTGTAGTCCCGGATAGCTAGGAGAATGGTGTGAACTTGGGTGGTGGTGCTTGCAGTGAGCTGAGATTGCGCCACTGCACTCCAGCCTGGGTGACAGAGCCAGACTCCATCTCAAAAAAAAAAAAAAAGAAAGTAACATTGTAGTCAATAATCAAGATAATTTTTCTTAGAATCTAAATCTAAATTTCTATTTATTTGTTTATTTTTAGAAACAGCATCTTGCTCTGTTACCCAGGATGGAGTGCAGTGGTGCGATCACAGCACACTATCGCCTTGAACTCCTCTGCTCAAGTGATTCTCCTCCCACCTCAGCCTCCCTAGTAGCTGGAACTACATGTGCAAGGCCAGAAATCTAAACTTTTTACTTCATTTTTAGTTAAGGGTTTTAGTCCTCTTTTCTTACTCCTTAATAAATTACTTGGACATACTTACATGAACAGAGAATATATTATCTTTATTTTTCTTCTGATGATTAGGAAATAAATTGTTCGCTGGGCACGGTGGCTCACACCTGTAATTGCAGCACTTTGGGAGGCTGAGGCAGTGGATCACCTGAGGTCAGGAGTTCAAGACCATTCTGGCCAACATAGAGAAACCCCTAAAAATACAAAAATTAGCCAGGCGTGGTGGCGGGCGCCTGTAGTCCCAGCTACTCGGGAGGCTGAGACAGGAGAATCTCTTGAACTCTAGAGGTGGAGGTTGCAGTGAGGCCAGATTGCACCATTGCACTCCAGCCTGGGTGACAGAGCAAAACTCCTTCAAAAAAAAGAAAGAAAGAAAGAAAGAAAATAAATTGTTCTTCCTTAATTAGCTTGATTTAATTATTCCATAATGAATACATATATATGAAAATATCACACTGTACCTCATAAGTATATGCAATTATTAATTATCCATTAAAAATAAAATGTATTTTTTAAAAGAATTAAAATAAAATAAATGTCTCCTCACACCAGAGAGAAGTGGACTGAGCCTCAGGAAAATCACAGGCCACGTCTGGGTCTGTTGTGAAGCAGCTGTGTGACCACAGACTAGTGCCTTGACCTCTGAGACCCTCAGTTTTCTTCACCTAAAAAATGAAGGCTTTGCTTTAGACAGTATATTCAGGTTCTTTCCAGCTTTAACATTTTAGGATTCGACGAGGAGAAAGAATTTTATTCAGAGCCTCATTCCCTCTTCAATAGGACAGAATGAGAACTCAGAGGGTGTGGTCACTAACCTCTCTTTCCTGAGGCTCTCCTTGTCTTGTCTGGGTATTGGTTGGCCTCCTTACATGTCACCATGAGGCATTCTTCCTGGCCACCAATGTTTTGTTTAGACTTTCCCATGCTATCTACCAAGCGTCTTTCAGTTTGCTTCAAGCTTATCTGTGGTCAGTTCTGAGTTGAAATTCAAGTGCACAACCTGACAATGACATCTGTGCCTTTGTTTCTGGAATAAATAAGTAAACTCTGAGGCGGAGAGGAGAGAGGGAGTGGTTCTTGCACTAGAGTGGAACTAACGGCCCATCTACCCCATAAGCCATCGATGAATTGAAAAAACAAAACTCTTTGCAGACCCCATTTCTTTCTTTCTTTCTTTTTCTTTTTTTTTTTGAGACAGAGTCTTACTCTGTTGCCCAGGTTGGAGTGCAATGGCACGATATTGGCTCACTGCAACCTCCGCCTCCCGGGTTCAAGTGATTCTCCTGCCTCAGCCTCCCGAGTAGATGGAATTACAGGTGTGGGCCACCATGCCTGGCTAATTTTCGTATTTTTAGTAGTGACGGGGATTTACCATGTTGGTCAGGCTGGTCTCAAACTCCTGACCTCAGGTGATTCGCCCGCCTCGGCCTCCCAAAGTGCTGGGATTACAGGCGTGAGCCACCACACCAGGCCCGCAGACCCCATTTCTCAGGTGAAATTCTGTGGGAGAACATTGAGATTCACTGAAGCGCAACACACCCATCAAATGAATTTCTGGTAAATGAGTGTAATGGAGCCAGAGGACTCTTGCTTTGAGAAGGCTATTTCCTCATAAAGGCTGTGACTTCCTCACAGTTTGTTTCATTGACAAATGTTCTTTCTCCTCAGAACTGAACCCCTACAATGTGAGAAGACTCTCACAATTGCCTTTCTCAAGAACACCACCTTGGCCACTTCACCTTTCTCTGAAGAGCACCACTCGTCTTTCCCCGGATGGATGCAGGATGCTGCCTCCACAGGGCCACAGAAGCCATTGTTCCAAGAAGCACCGGCTTCTTGGGCTTTTAGCTTAATTGGTTTCCATGTTAGGACCTAGACTTCTGTCTCTCCCTTATTTTCCCACCAATTCCCACAGCAGAATGCAGTCCTCTTCCAAATATCTCCAACAGTGGACCGCTCATCTTCCCGTCAAGCTGTCAGTGACAGTCTATTAAATGGCCCAATCTTGAAATCCTTCTGAGGAAGACAAATGAGAAATAAACTTATGAAACAGCTCCGAGTTACATTTAAGTCTCTCCATTTCCTTTAGTTTCTCTTTGCTCCAAGGCTTGAATATAAAATGGAGACAGGGTTTCAGCGACAGATGGCAGAGGATAATCTTTCATTTTGCCATAAAGTTAACCCTCGGAGGGGCCTGAAAAGACCTTTCTCTTGGAAAACCAGTGGCTTCATAGTTCCTTGCTTTTAATTGGGTAGAAAAAGCTCTTTTCTGATTTTCAGAGAACGTGCCTTTCCTCTAGGCTAACCCACATCGCAAGACACTCGGGTGAGGCTGGCCTCTCCATTCTGATTTATTTATGCTGCTTGTGGGTGCCTTGCACATTTTAATTAATAATGATTTGACTGTGCGTGAGCCCTGGTGATAAATACGAAAACAGGGCTATTAAAGATAATCCAATAAACAAACCCAAGAAAAGCTGTCTTCCAGTATTATTTGTTGCCATTTTTAAAGGGGACAGATGACTAAAAGAAATACAATACTGAAATTAATTTTTAAGGTTGATAAACAGTAACTATAACCGCGACTAAAAAATGCCCATTAAATCTTATACTGACTAAGAAATCACAATTCTATGTCCAGATGAAGCATTTGTTTTATTCCTTGAACAAGTTCAGCCAAAGGGGGTTATGATTTAATGAGTGGAGAATTCTTGTATTAGGTGTTGTAGCAAAGCCGAGAGACTGTCACTAAGATCAAATAGCTTCCAACCTTAATCAGTAGATGACAAAGAGGCCAAATGACAAGTTTTCTTTAAGGCAAAATCCTGAGCATTTTTTTTTTTTTTTTTTTATCATTTAAGTGAAAGGAGAATCTAGATGGTTCCAAGTAGGTAAGGAGACAGAACATTCACACAGAGTGAAGGAAATGTTAAATAAAGAAAAAACTTAAGCTGGATCTGATGTCTGTGCTAAGTCACAACACATGAAGCTCAAAGCCCTCATGTTTGTATTTGGGGGCACAGCGCATCAAGGCGGTTGGGTCTTTATGTGGCTTTGCATAATGGTAAGGATGGAGAATGTATACAGTATAGCGATGTAGGGAGACCTGGATTGCATTAGAATCCTGAACAGAGAGAAACCGTTTCTGCTCATGTTAGCAATCTCTCCCAAGCTGCTCTCCTACACCCAAAGGCTGACTCCAGAGATATTGAGGAGCAAGAACAATCCCTTTGTAAGGAATGAGGGGGTGGAGAATTGAGAGAAGACTGATGTTGAAATCTGGTTCTCTCACATCACACACCATTTCTGTGATGGAGTAATTGCTTCTCCTGTTCCAGAAAAAAACAGACAGATATCCCAGGTCTGGGGAATATTGGAATCACTGTTTAAGAGGACAGGCAATTGAGGTAGCAAGGAATAACAGGAAAGGATTAGAGGGAAAATAGAGGGGCTTTAAAACCTAAACGTGGGATTTTCTCCTGTTAAATGCCTGAAGGCTTTCTAGCATGCTCTCTTTTTCTGGGTAGTGACTCAAGACTGGGGACACCCAAACCTCCCACATAAGTTTTCATTATGTAGTTCTCTTTAAAGAGGGGAATTTTTCCTTGGAAAACTTTTCTTTTTGTTTTTTTTGTTTTTGGTTTTTTTTTTTGGCCTCTAGCAAAATGCAAGAGCCACAATGAAAGACCACACCTTCACATGTAAAAACCTTTAACACTTATCCACACATTGCTCAGATCCTAGAACTGGGTTTTCAGAAAAACTGTTTGGGATCTATGGTATCAGGAATCAATTTTGTTATGAGGGAAACTATCTTTTGTGTGCCCCTGTAAAGACTGGGCTACCATGTCCCACATTTTTCCTCCCAAAGTCAAAAAAATCTCCAAATCTCTGATTTACACATTTTGGAACCCATCAAAGTGGTAACTATCTGTATTCAGATTTCACAAACTTTAGGGGCTGGTGACAGAGATGAAGCAAGCAGCAGTGCAGATAAACGTGGGAGTGGAATGTGACACACACCCAGCTCCCAAAAAATAATTAGGGAAAGATGATTCTTGCACGATAGAAAGGCTGACCCTTAAATTACTCAGGTAAAATGTTTAACATGATGTCTGTTCCACAGTAATGCTCAATAAATCTTTACTAACAAAAAGGAGTTTTAAGAAGAACAGTCACAGGGCAAAGATCAGAACAGGTGAGCAAGGCTAAATAGCGGGAGAAAAGAATTTTGAGAAGGTGTCCATGCTCCATCATCTCAGATAATACGGAATCAATTAAGGACTGAAAAGGGGCCTCATGGAGATCTGGCAAGGGGTTCATCGCTGACTTTGATGATAACAATAGTTAGTAGAGTGGTTGAAAATGGAATCAGATGCCCGTAGGGTAAGGGAAAGAATGAAGGTATGAAGGGAAACTTTGCAGGGAAGACAGAGTGACAGGACAGACCAATACAAAGTTCTTTAGGATGGGATAGAATTAAGCAGACTAAGGAAAAGGAGATACTATGGTAACTATGTTAAATCCCAGTGACACTCTTACGTTGCTTGAAAGGGCTAGGGCATATAGTTCTACTATAAGCTCAAGAGTGCAGAAACAGGACTTCTGAAGAGTCAAAATCTAGATTCTGGATTCAAGGTTTCACAATGAATTCACTGCAACAGCTTTGGCAATTATTTAATGCTCCCTGGGTCTCAATTCATCAACAAATAATACCAAATAAGAAGAGTATATGATACTATATTCCATAAGCATTACTATAAAAAATCCATATATATATAATCTGTATCAAGCAGACAGAAAATGCTTTGAAAGTCATGGTGATAGAAAACAGTGATAAGAAAGCGTTAAGTGTTATCAGGAAAATGGCTGTTGCAATGACTGCTACATATGCTATTTTTTACTAATGATATTATACATTCTGGTTTTTCAAATTTCAGATGCTGGGGCTATGGGACCTGGTTAATACAAGAGTAGGGGAAAATTAGTATCCTTACCAGTGTGTCATCTTTGAAGCAAAGGAGTGATTTTAGAAATGAAGAGGTCACAGTAGAAGCGGAAAAATAATAACGACTCAATAATCGGTGAAATTATATTGAGATAATGAATGCTTCTAGGAGGCAGCAGGAGTCGGGGATGAGATGAATTAAGTGATGAAAATGGCCCTACCTAAATTTCCCCATAATGGGGTTATGAAACAACCTGTATCTGTTGGGTTAGAATAGAGTAAAATAATCTTAATTTTGGTAATGTAAAATTTCTTTTTTCTGAAAGTACCTTTTATTTTTGTAATTATTTTTCAAGGAAAGTTTGTATAAGCTTTGTGCATTCTTCTTTTTATTCTTGCCAACTTACTTTTGGTCTCCATGTAGGTACTCAAAAGTTAATGAAGTGACAAATTGTTTTTTCTTTTTTTTTTTTTTTTGAGATGGAGTTTCGCTCTTGTCGCCCAGGCTGGAGTGCAATGGTGTGATCTCAGCTCACTGCAACCTCCACCTCTAGAGTTCAAGTGATTCTTCTGCCTCAGCCCCGCTAGTAGCTGGGATTACAAGCATGCGCCACCATGCCCGGCTAATTTTTTGTATTTTTAATAGAGACGAGGTTTCAGGAGGTCTCAAACTCCTGACCTCAAGTGATCTGCCTGCCTCAGCCTCCCAAAGTGCTGGGATTACAGGTGTGAGCCACCACGCCTGGCTGAAGTGGCAAAATTATATTTAGTAAAAAAGAAAGGAGTAAGGGCAGTGGTGAGAGAAAAGGCAGTGAGTGAAAATCTTCATTCAAGACTTTCATACACAATTTAACAGCTAACACTTTGATAATATTGAATGCTTACGTGTGCAAGTGTTCCACATAAATACTACCTATGAATTAGATAATATTTTTATTTCCCACTTTGAAGATGAGAAAACTGAGACACGAGGTTATTTGCTCAGGTCACAGAGCTAGTAAGTGACAACGCCAGGATATACAAACCTAGACCCAAGTGCACTCATGCTCTTTACCAGCTGTGTTATCTTGCTTCCCTGAAGACTCTAATAGCATTTGGTCCTCAGAACCTATTCCTACGAAAGGATTTAATGGCTCTTGAGCACTTGGCTCTCCATGACTTGTCCAGGAACATGCTGATATTTCCATGGTTGACATCATCCCAGTGCTGCCTGTAGTTGTGTTTCCTCTTATTTATTTTCCTTACTGGAAACTAGAAGCTACAGTTATTAAATGCATTCAAATAGAGTTGCTCAGGGAAACAGACGTTCATGAAGGCCATACTTTTCAAAGGCTAACATAAAGCTTTCACCCCCCACCTTAGGAATCAGAGAAGGATAAAGGGCAGGAGACCCAGAGAGAGATTCTGTTGTCCTGACCTGAGCAGTAGACTATTCTATCCTTGTTCACCAAGAATGAGTAGCTGGGATAGTAGAAATCCAGTTTAAGAAATACCATCCCCCAAAGAAGGAAGTTATTAACCAACATTTCTTCCTCTCTGTTAAGGTATGTGAAATGTAAGGAGAATAATTAAGAACCTAATAGGTAACAGTGATTAACAGAAGAGGCTGGCCATCAATGATAGACTGGATTAAGAAAATGTGGCACATATACACCATGGAATACTATGCAGTCATAAAAAAGGATGAGTTCATGTCCTTTGTAGGGACATGGATGAAGCTGGAAACTATCATTCTGAGCAAACTGTATCACAAGGACAGAAAACCAAACACTGCATGTTCTCACTCATAGGTGGGAATTGAACAAGGAGATCACTTGGACACAGGGTAGGGAACATCACACACTGGGGCCTGTTGTGGGGTGGGAGAAGGGAGGAGGGATAGCATTAGGAGGAATACCTAATGTAAATGACAAGTTAATGGGTGCAGCACACCAACGTGGCACATGTGTAACAAACCTGCATATTGTGCACATGTACCCTGGAACTTAAGGTATAATAAAAATATATATATAAAATAAAAATAAATATATATACAAAATTTTAAAAATAAAAAAAAAGAGAAGAGGACTGGAATCAGATAGCTTGGGTTCAATTCTGGTTTCATCACTGACTTGCCAAGTGAATCTTTGTGCAAATTACTTCAACTTCTCCAGATGTCAATTTCTTCATCTGTACATGGAATAATAATAAATGCCTATAAGATTATTGTGAAAGTTTAATATAATTATCTATTTAAAGCTGCATATAACAAGTGCTAAATAAATATTACATATTTGTTAACACAACTTGGGAAAGCAGGTGGTGAGGGTTGTATTAGCTTCCTAGGGCTTCTGTAACAAATGTCCACAAACGGAGTGGCTTAAAACAATGGAAATCTATTCTTAACAGTCTGGGGCTCAGAAGTCTGAAATGTATGTGTTGGCAGGAATTCACTCCCTCTGCATTCCAGGTGCCTGTATCCCTCCAATCTCTGCCTCCATTTCCACATGGCCTTCTCTGTGTGTCTTCTCTTCTGTCTCTTCTAAGGACACTT